TAACTTTGAAACTTTTCTTTTAACTCAGAATTCTCTAATCTGAGACTCTTAGTCTTTTCAGAGTCAGAGACAAGATCCCTTTTCAGGTTCTTGAATTTGACTCTGATTTGCTGATACCTTTCCAGAATTTCATTTAGACTTTCTGCAAGTTCAGCCTTAGTAAAATTAATAGTGAAGTCAGGGTACCTCTTCAGTGTATGATTCTTAGTCTGAACCAGAAGCTTCAATGTCTTCTGACACGTTTTCCATGAGAGCTATGTTTGCTCTTTCATTATCTGACTGAGTCAGCATCAGAAGTGTCTGAATTGTCCCATGTTTCCATGAGGCTTTTCTTCTTCTCCTTGAAGAACTTCTTTTTGGGCTTCTCCTTCTGAAGCCTTGGACAGTCACTTTTGTAGTGCCCTTGCTCATTGCACTCATATCAGATGATGTCCTTGTTATTTGAATTTTTGTGTCCTGAAGGACCTTCAGATCTTCTGTGTCCAGAGGAAGACTCAGACTTTCTATATCTGGAGGAGGATTCATTTTGATTCGCTGATCTTCTAGGGTTTCTGAATTTCCTTCGTCTCTACTTCTACAGTTGATTTACCCTTCTGGAGAGGAGAGACAATTCAGCTTCTTCTGATGAGGATCCATAAGAGGTTTCTTCCATAGCCTGTAAAACCATAGAATCAGATTTTTTGTTAGATTTTAATGCTAGTGGCTTACCTTGCTTTTGAGGCTCATCTTCTTCTAGCTCTATCTCGTGACTTCTGAGGGAGATGACAAGTTCCTCCAGAGATATCTTGTTGAGATCTTTAGCTAGCTTAAGTGCTATGACCATTGGCCTCCATTGCTTGGGTAGACTTCTGATGATCTTCTTTATGTGATCAACAGTAGAATATCCTTTGTCAAGAACTTTCATCCCAGCAACAAGGATCTGGAATCTTGAGAACATTGCTTCTATAGATTCACTGTCTTCCATCTTGAATTCTTCATACTTCTGAATGAGCACAAGGGCCTTGGTTTCTTTGACTTGTATGTTGCCTTCATGCGTCATTCTCAGAGAGTCAAACATGTTTTTGGTTGTCTCTCTGTTTGAGATTTTCTCATATTCTGAGTATGAGATAGCATTGAGAAGTATTGTTCTGGCTTTATGATAGTTTCTGAAGTCAAATGTTTGCTGGTCAGACAACCTTTTTCTGTCTATCTTCTGACCACTTTCATCCACTGGATGTGTGTACCCATCAATTACCATGTCCCATAGATTAGCATCATGGGCCATAAAGAAGCTCTATATTCTGTCTTTCCAGTAGTCAAAATTTTCTCCATCAAAGACTGTAGATTTACCACTGATTCTGTCTTTGTCCTCATGATAATCATTGCTGATGTTTTGGCTTGGTCCCACCATAGTGTTTTTCTAAAGCTTGGATCTTGTACTGACACGGTTAAGTGTATGAACTCAAAACCAGACGCTCTGATGCCAATTGAAGAAGTGAAAAACACAAGAGGGGGGGGGGAGGTTGAATTGAAAACTTAAAATCAAATGCGCAGAGACACTATATTTTTATCCTAGTTCGTTTGATCTCAAACTACTCCAGTCCACTCGTCAATGTGATTTCGCCTCTTTCCAACGAGGACTTAATCCACTAATCAAAAACTGATTACAATCACTACTTTGACAACTGCCAAAGTCCTCTTGAGTACAAACACAACCTGGTTAATCTCAAGGAAAACTAGCTTAATCAAGATAAAAGAATTTTGTGTATGGTTGTTTTTCCTTACAAAAATAGTTATCACAACTGTGATATTTTACACACTTTTGAGCATAGAAAAGAATATGTAAGCTTGCAGTGTTTAGAGATGTATTGTAGTCGTATTCAAAATCGTAAACGATTTGACCTCTTAGCTTGTTTATATAGGCATAGGAATCCTGTCCAACATAATGCGTGATAATGGACATTTAAGCTGTTTCCATATTGAGAAGATTCTTGTCTGAATGAAGTCGTTGCATGTGATGCTGTCTTGATTGAATAGTAACGCTTCAGAATCTTACAATCTTGTATGTTGCAATTGCTTCAGAACATTGATGACTTAGATTTGTGAGGATTTGATTGTATATGAACCTTCTATTCAGAATCAGAGTATTCTTCACTTCAGCGCAGGTTCTGATCATCATTCTTCAGCGCAGATTCTGATTACCTCAACGTGAAAGCTTTTATAGCTTAACTTTTGATGCTGCTTTGGTCAGAACTTCTGCATATAAAATAACATAAATTTAGAGTGCATATTTGTTCTTTTGGTTTGTTATCATCAAAACTCTAATTAAGGATTGTAGAATCAAACTATGTTCTAATAAAAGAGGCTATTGAGCACCAAGTTCGGTTACAGGCCATGAAAGAAGAAATTGATGTTATAGAGAGAAACAAGACTTGGAAGCTGACAGAACTTCCAAAAGGCAAGAAAGCCATCAGCGTCAGATGGGTTTTCAAGCAGAAGCTAAAGCCAGATGGATCAATTGGCAAACACAAAGCGAGATTAGTAGTAAGAGGCTTCCTACAGAAGCCTGGGCTGGATTACTTTGAAGTGTTTACACCTGTAGCGAGACATGAAACAATCAGACTAGTGATTGCAATAGCTGCTAACAGGAATTGGCCTCTAATGCATTTATATGTAAAATTTGCATTTATGAATGGTCCATTACAAGAAGAGATGTACGTTTCACAACCTCCTGGATTTGAGAAAAAGAACCAGGAAGGAATGGTGTTCAAATTATACAAAGCATTGTATGGATTGAAGCAAGCGCCCAGAGCTTGGAACTTGAAGATTGATTCGTTTTTCAAGGAAAAGGGGTTTCAGAAGTGTGAGATGGAGTATGGTGTTAATGTTCAACATACTTCAGAAGGCAATATGGTTCTGGTCTATTTGTATGTTGATGACATATTACTCACAGGAAGTTCTGAATAAGAGATAGCTGAGTTCAAGAAAGTTCTGATGAATGCGTTTGAGATGACATATCTTGGAAAAATGAGTTTCTTTCTAGGGATGGAATTTATATACTCTGAGAAAGGAATCATTTTACATCAGATGAAGTGTGAACTAGAGCTTCTGAAAAGATTTGAGCTAGAAAATTGCAAGGTTGCTATCACACCTGCTGATACGAATCAGAAGTTGGATTCTAATTCTGATGGAGAGGATGTGGATGCTACAACCTTCAAATAGATGGTTGGTTCTCTAAGGTATTTATGTAATACCAGACCTGATATTTTCTATGCAGTTGGAATGGTTAGCAGACTTATGAGCAAATCAAAGTGGTCTCATTACCAAGCTGCAGTCAGGATTCTGAGGTATGTGAATGAAACTCTGAAATATGGAGTGTTATTTCCGTCTGGAATAAAGATCGAATTAGAACTTCTGAGTTATTTTGATTCTGATTGGTGCAGATATAAAGTTGATAGAAGAAGTACTTCTGGGTACTTATTCAAATTTTTGAGAGGTCCTATTTCTTGGTGTTGCAAGAAGCAACCTGTTGTTGCTCTGTCAACTTGTGAAGCTGAATATATTGCAGGTGTTTTGACTGCATGTCAAGCTGTGTGGATTCTAAACTTGCTGAAAGATCTGAAGATTGAGGTAAATAAACCTCTGAAGCTGATGATTGATAACAAGTCTGCAATCAATCTTGCCAAGAATCCAGTGTTGCATGGAAGAAGCAAGCATATTGAGACAAAGTATCATTTTCTGAGGAATCAAGTTCAAAATGGAATAATAGAGGTTGTGCTCTGTAGCACTCAGAAGCAGCTGACAGATGTTCTGACAAAGGCTATCAAAATTGATCAATTTCTTGGTTTAAGGGATGAAATTGGTATTGTCAGTTTTGGGTAAATATAAATTAAGGGATGGTGTTAGAATTAATTTAGATTTTATAATTAGATATTAATTTATATTTAGGAATATCTTTTAGATTGTTTATATATTTATTAGAAGATATATATCTTAGATCTTCTTATATCTTTGTAGAAGATATAATAGCCTACTGAAGTAGATTATTGTAATTCATTATAAATCCTTATTTTTGAAGTTATCAATAAATATTCCTTTTGTTTTTTATCTTCCTTGTGCTCCAACAAAATCATAATATTTATATTTTTAACCATATTGGTTGAAACTTCCAAAAGTATTTTCACAAGAGAAAAAAAAAAACAATCCTAACAAATAGTAACAAAAAAACAGAAAAAACCTGTTCCAATTTTTCCATTTTTTGGAAAAAACATTAAAAGAAATTGGATACACAGTACCTCACATGAACCATGTCGCCGAAATGAACAGTGACACGAATAAACAGTACCGATTGAAGAAGTGTGTGATTAATGTCGTGAATGAACAAAAATACAAGAATGTCATTGTTAATGAAAATATATCTAGCTTTTTAAGTGGAAGAAAATACAAGAATGTCATTGTTGAAGTATAAGAATGTACATTTTATGTAACCAAAAATAATTTGATTGAGATAATATTTTTTGAAGTGAAGACAATTTGGGTAAAAAGTAGGTTTATATGCTAATAAGCTGAATCTTGGTTGAGATTAATTAAGCAAAGACTTCCATGTAGGTGTTGACAGATACAACATTTAAATCCTGAATCATTCAAATGATAAACAATTTATGGTCCTTCTTGTTTAAATTTATTTTTTGTTAGATGAGACATTTATGTCTTTATCAAAGCACAAAGAAAAAGTGTAAAAAAGTAAAAGAAAAAAGCTGAAAGGAATGCCATGTTTATCTTCTTCTTCTAGTCCTTTTGCTTTCTTCTCTGATATAGTGGACCTATCAAACTGTCACCAAAATGGAATAAAATTATTCTTACATATTACTTGACAATCATTTCTTTCCAAGAACAAGAATCATTCATACAACATCTTTTTCTTTTCATCCTTTCAATTTTCCCGCTCTTGAATTCCCTCCTATCAAACTATACCATATAAACACTTCACACACACCACACATAGGTATGTACAATCCAACATGGGAAACTGCTTGTTGGGTGCAATGTCAGATCCAAACACATTGATCAAAATCATAACATCTGATGGTAACATCATGGAGTTCTATCCTCCAATTACACCAAATTTCATCACACATGAGTTTCAAGGCCATGCCTTATTCCCAACCAATGACCACTTTTCTAAACCACTTTGCCAGTTCGATGAGTTGGTGGCAGGACAGTCATATTATTTACTACCGATAATGACTGTCCTGTCACCTAACACTTTGAGACCTAGCATGTCCGTCGGTGATAGCATTATTGTCCGACAAGGACAAGGACAAGGACATGTTAGGTCTATAAGTGTTCCTACAACACCTCATCCTACTCCATATAGAATGTCATTGGATTACCAATACTATCAAGGTGTAGGGTTGCTTCAAAAGGCTTCAACAGAATCCTTCTCTTGTAGGACTAGTAGAAGCAGTGTTAATAACAAAAGCAGTATTAGTAAAAGAAGAAAGAGTGTTGGGGTTTGGAAAGTGAAGTTGGTGATAACTCCTGAAAAGTTATTGGAGATTTTGTCACAAGAGTCTCAAACAAAAGACTTGATTGAGAGTGTGAGGATTGTAGCTAAATGCGGTGTTGCTGCTGCTGCTGCATCTGGTGGTGGTTGTGGAATTTCGTCTACAACAAGAAGCTTTGTTTCTGATCAATGGAGTCTTTCTAGTAGTGGTAGGAGTACTGCGCCTTCTAAGATTGATGCTTTAGTTCTAAACACTTGAAAAGCATGTTTGAATAAGCATATATATGTGAGTGAGATTCTTTAGAAGAGTTTATAGAAACAAAAGAATTCCATTTAATGTTTTGACAGAAAAAGTTATAAGGCATGGTATCTTATCTTGATGAGGTATGGTAAGAAGAAGAGGTTGGTTAGGTGCCAATATTTTTTAGGATGTAGGGCATTACTTTGTAATAGTAATTGTTGTTTTCGGTCAAAAAGGTTGTTTTATTTCAGTCCAATGAGTGCATGTATTATAACCCAAACACAAATCCATGAATATAATATTTTACTAATTATGAACTAGTTTGTCTATATCGGGAGGGTTTGGCATCTATAAGGCATGCTCGATGAATTGAGTTTCGCTATCTTTAGCGCGCGAAAGATACATACCTTTCTCTCTTTCTCTCACATGCAATTCTTTCTCTCATCTTATTTTTTCTTTTTTCTTTATTTTATATTTTATATAAAATACTAAAAATTGTCTAAAGTTAGCTAAAGGCACCATAGTTAAAGTTACACAATCTTTTCCCATGCTCGATTGAGATTAGAATAATCAATGTACATATGTCATTTGTTATTAGTTGTTTTGACAAGTGTAACATTTGATAGTCATATTGTGTATTTGATTTTAGTTCCAATGTTGGCTTTTAAGAGGGCATTTATTGCTTTCTTTGTGATTTTAGCCTTCTCAGATGATTGATATCTTCGGTAGTGTATCACGTAGGATTCATTTAGGTTGACTTCATGTTGATTACAAGCAACCTCTAGATCTACTATCAAGATTTATGTAGTCGTCCATACAAATAAGTATTTATTATAGTTTGACTTAACTCATCTTTACAAAACCATCTTGTAAGGTGAGAGGTGACACTCTATATAAACTCTTTTAAACCTCTATCTTTAAACAATGTGGGACTTAAGATTTTTCCAATACACCCTCTCACACCCATCACTCTTTGGGCTTAGTGCGTGAATATAATCGATGGGTGGTCCATGTCCGATCGATAGACTCTGATACCATATTAGAGTTTGACCAAACTCATCCTTATAAAACCGACTTGTAAGGTGAGGGGTGTGATGTTGCAGTATTAGCAACCAAAAGTGTGAGTATTTGTTTTATCGTACCCACAGAGATTGGTGCAATAACAATGTCGTTCAACAGTTACTATGATTATTAAGTGAAAGGTTGCAAGATGTTTGGAAGTTTAAAGTTACATAATGTAAAATGGAGGAATGAAAGATAAAGAAAGTTTCAGAGATATGAGAACTTATCAGGATTGAATTTCATCTAATGATAGAATATGCAGTTTACCAATCAGTTATATACAATTTAAACATTCATCAATATCATCACGTACCTCTCACAACAAAGTTTATGTGTAAACTTCTGACGAGGTTTTAAACTTATTGTTTAATCGACGATCTCTCAGCTTATTCAATAATAAGACAACATTAAGAATCGATACTCTCTCTGAATGTTAGACTAAGTTTATATCTAGAGTTTAGAATCTAATAGATGTTCATCTTAGATCAAGATTTGAACCGTATTTCTCAATATCAATTTAAATTTATAAAGTTAAACAGTGATACAAAGATAACATTGATATCAATTAGTGAATAGATTGTATATAACGCCATGATCCACAAACTAATCTAGCATGTGAACTTAGTTATTAATCACTAGTATCACGTATCACTCTCCAACACCCCTTATGTTGAACCGATGATGTGGGTTTTACCGTATTATTTAATCGACGACCTCTCATCCTATTAAACAATAAAGTAACATTAAGACATGATACAAGTGAATATCAAACTCCAAATATATGTCTAGAGTTTGGTCTTTGATAGATGATAATCTTAGGTCAAGACTTGAAAGATATTTCTCAATAATGATTTAAGCTATAATTATAACATGAAAACAAAGATAATATCAATATAGGTTCATAACTAGTTCACAATACAAAGATCAAAAGAAACACATATGATTACAATGAACTACATCCAATCCCAACAAGAAAGGGATTTAGCTACTCATGGTAGCTTGATACAAAGAGAAGAATTAAGATGAACATGCATCAATCGTGATTTCCCAATGATTAATGTGAACCCAACTTCAAATCTTCAAGAAGCACCCTCTCATATTGTTTCAAGTTTCTCTCTCTCCAAAATATGTTCTATCTCTCAAAATATCAACCGAATTTTATTTATAGAAAACAAAAATTTGCAGACCGCGCTAAGTCCCAAATTTGGCACCTAGCCCCAAATCCTGAAAAAACACATTAAACTGCCTTAAATGGCGCTTAGCCCTAGATTTTTGCGCTAAGCACGGAACCTTCAGCCTCAGAATCTCTAAGCATGATTTGACCGTGCTAAGTGAAGTGGACTTAGCACGGAAATTGAGGCTTAGCCCCATCTGCGGCATGTTGCCTTTTTTTCAAAAATGCACGTTGAAGCCATTTTTTTGCCTTTTGATGACCAAAGCTCCTCCAATACATACAAACCTAAAAAATAAAGTTTAAAAGATCAAACTAAACAATATTTTCATAAAAGTTGAAGTTTTGACTTGTTAACCCAACGAATTAAGTTAAGAAGTGTCACTAATTCATACACAAATTCAACACACTTTGGCACTTATCAGGGTGTTGTTACCAAGTAATTTTTTACTAAGGTAGTGAACCTTAAGTTGTGGGATTATTTGGCTGAAGTGGTATAAAGACAAAAGGATGCATCAAGCAAGGGAATGACATCGACCAAATGGGTCATTCAATGAGAGCCAGAAGATTAGAGTCAATTGCCGACAAAAATAGGAGTCGAAGAAGCTAAAGAGAAAATGCATACTGGCGAGAACAAGTATCAACCTGCAGAGTCAACAAGAACGAGGGAATACTCAAACAGTCCCCACGAAGCCCAAAAATGGGCTAGTAACCGTCAACGGTTACATATTTAGGATGTCTATTTAAGCAAATTTTTGTATTTGTGTTAGGGGTCACATTTCTTCACATTTAATAGCAATACACTCAAAGTACCCGCATCTAAGAGAGAAACGAGTTGACGCTTAACAATGTATGAATGCTTCCATATTTTAAATTCTTAGCCATTTACAGTCTTTGGTTTATTTATTGCAATTTCTTTTGTCTTTTGCCCTTTTTTTTAATCATTTTTTCAACCCAAAAACACCTTAAACATTAATGTTTGGGATTAATATAGTCGATCCCGTAAGTAACCTTTAATAAGAGACTAGTGATTGTTTCACGGAGAAAAAAATTGGCACACCTGGTGGGACACGTTTGTGTTTAAGTCTTCTTTTTTTATGCATGAAATTAAGAAGTGGTAGAAAAATGGTAGATCCTAGAACTCTTGAAAGGGATCAGAATCTGGGATGAAATTCCAGTGCGGCGGCGAGTGTAGGTTCTAGTTTGGCAGATGTATCTTTGACAGTGCCAAGTATAGTTACCACAACGCAACCAATAATTGTAAGACTAATGATGGTCATAACTGTTGGGCCTTATGCGCCTAGTTTCACAAGAGAAACACATGAGAGTGTGGTTCCAACTTCTGAGCAATATGTGCCTAGTTTTTCCAGAAATATACATGAATATGGAATGCCTACAGAGATGATGGTAGGATTACACAAAAGTTCAACATTCGGAAAAAATTCCGCATTCTCGCCATATCGTGCTCTGGGGCTGTCGGGAAGCCAACTTGGGCATTCGACTGGTTTAGGTTTCTCCAACCAAATTACGCCCACTTTCACCCCAAGTACGGTTGTTGTTATGGGACATCAGATGGATGAAAGTAACCATGAAATAGTCAATATGCTCACTCAACATATGAGCTTAATATTAAGATCGCTAATTGAAAATTCACTACTGAGATATCAAATGTTAGCAGCTCACATGACTCGTATAGGAGACTTTCTTGGTGCTCTTAGGGCGCCAGTTCGACAAGCTACACCTCCACCACGTGAGGTACCAGTGCAATATGAGTAAGTTTTCGACAAAGAGGTCGAATAAGATCCACCGACTCCTCCATGTGTCAACATCATACTTAGGGTAGAACAACAACCCCCAGTAGTAGTAGCAAATCGAAACCATAATGCCGACCAATTGGTCAGGCAGGTTCGACGAGAAACAGTGGCTGGGGAATAAAACCTAGAGGCCATGGTCGAATGAATAATGGTTAGGAATGGGATAAACATTGGCTGTTAGAGAGTCACATATTTTTCTCATTTTCCAGATTACGTGCTACAAACAGAGTTACCAAGGGGTTGGAAACTCCCAAAATTTACTAAGTTTGTAGGGGATGTCGAAGAGTACACTGTTGAACATGTTTCCAGATATCAAACTGAACTGGGAGACTTAGTAGTGAATGAGGATTTAAGGATGAAATATTTCTCCAACTCTCTCACAAAGAATGCGTTCACTTGGTTCACAATGCTTCCCCCACAGTTAGTCTAAACATGGACCCAGTTAGAATTTTTTTCCATGAACAGTTTCACATAGGACAATCTAAGATAAGCATAAAAGAATTGTCTAGTGTCAAGTGAAATAGCACTCAGTTGATAGACCAATACCTTAACAGGTTTAGACTCCTGAAAGTGCGGTGCTTTACACAAGTCCCTGAACATGAGTTGATCGAAATGGCTGCAAATGGGTTAGAGTATTCCATTCGGAAGAAATTGTTGGACACCCAATCTTTGAAAGATATGGATCAGTTAACTATCAAAGTTCGATTGATCGAATGTTTGAAAGCTGAAAAACCAAGCCAAACAAATATCACAAAAAGGGAAAGTTTCTTATGTCACAACTGACGAATGTTCTTCTGACAAAAATGAGCCAGGGGAAGAAACAAAAGTTAACATGGTTGAAGTCCAACCTAGACCTCCCTATGTGTGTAAATTGTTGAAACAGCCAAACAGGAAGAACCCTGTCGAAACGGAAAAGAATAGCAAAGCCATTACTAAGACATATACTTTCAACATAACTAAATGTGATGAAA